GATGTTACACTCATCGAGACTTTTCATTTGAGTACCCACATTAATTTTTTATATATTTTATATATTTATATATATCACAAATACCATATATATAAAATATATAAAAAATGCCATGTGGGTACTCAAATGAAAGGTCTCGTTGAGTATAACATCGAAATGAGCTTACATCTTTAAAAATATCAATAATTAAGAAATGACCTTGTATCTTGTCAACAATTGACATTTTTAAAGATATAAGCTCATCCTGACATTCCACACATCGAGACCTTTCGTTAGAGTACCCACATCAATTTTTCATATACTTCATATATTTATATATATCATATATATGTATATATGAAAAATATATAAAAAATGCATGTGGGTACTCAAATGAAAGCTCTTGATGAGTGTAACATCAGGATGAGCTTATATCTTAAAAATGATCAATATTTAAGAAAGTACATTTATAATAAATAAATAAGTAATTTATAGAATAATATTAAAAATCTTTATTAATCTGATTAACTTATTAAATAAATAGTTGAACTCTTAAACTCAAAACTAAACAACTAAACCATTTAAAGTCCTAAACCAGCATATCTCAACGGATCTGCAATAAATTCTTTTTTCTGAGTAAAATCAACAAGCCCTAAATTCCGTCCTCGACCACTAGTAGCTTGACCTCGTCCTCGTCCACTAGCTTGTCCACGTCCACGTGAACTCTTACTTGCGCCGTTGGCCTTGGATTGATTGGTGGACCCAGATGGAGAATTAGAGTAAGATGACCCAGAATATTTAGTACGTTTTGGATTGCTACCTTTTTTACTAGTACCGAAACGTTTTTTACCTCGACCGCGGAACCCTCTGTAAGATCCATGGCCGCTTGACCCGCCAGTGGACCCACCACCAGTATCAAGCCAATCCTCCTCCTGGTCAAGCCCACGATTTGCCTCCTCCTCCATCTCCTTTGCCTCCATTTCCATCGCGACTTTTTCCGCAGCGTACCGCTCGGTTATTTGCAGCAATACTTTACCGTACTTGTTGTAATTTGCTTCTGTCACGTGGGGGATCTTCAGCATTTCTTCTTTAGTAGCCGGCAACTGCTGGCTCATCGCACGGACTGCAATGTTGCTCATTATACTCGCAGCCGGGATGTCCAGGGCTTCTGCTATGCCAGTGATGTCACGCATCAGCTCTGCGTAGCACCGGTCTTGAAGTTCCTTCAAGACTTTGTTGTCGGGCTTTGTTGCTGATGACACTGTTACTGTTAATCTGTTGTTGGTTTCTAGTCTTGTTGGGAACATGACCTAAAAATTTTATTTTATTAATTATTATTAGATTTTTTTTAATAAATAAATTTTCTCTGAAAAATTAGTTCTATTTTAAGATAATTAATTTAAAAGATATTTGATAATTTAAAAAAAAAAAAAAATTAGAAAAAAGAATTGACATGTAGAAATTTTAATAAATTAAAAATGCAATTTTTTAAAAATTATTTTTAATACATTTGTTTCTTAAAAAAAAAATTAAAGAATTGTGAAGTGACAGATAAATTTAATGTAATTTTTATTTACATAAAAATTCATTTTTTATATTTTTAATTTTCTAAAAGTCAATTTTTTTTTTTTTTTTTCATTTAAGATGATACTATTGATTATTAATAAAATAAAAATTTTATTGTTTTTAATAATTTACCTTGACTTCGGTGGTCATTAGAACTTTAGCACGTTCTCCAAGTTTTACATAAGCAACCACTATTTCTTTGATATTCTGAAGGTCTTCTGATAGATAATTTTCGAATACCAATTGATGCAAAAAACGATCTATGTCACTTTTGTTCCATGCTTTGAATCTTCCGAATAAAACATCGCGATTCATACCTGAAATTTTAAATATTTATTTTTCTAATAAACCTTGTATTTTGTAAACTATTGACATTTTTTAAGATATAAGTTCACCCCGACATTACACTCATTGAGACCTTTTATTTGAGTACCCACATCAATTTTTCATATATTTTATATATTTATATATTTCACAAATACCATATATATATAAAATATATCAAAAATGTCATGTGGGTACTCAAATGAAAGCTCTTGATGAGTGTAAGATCGGGATGAGCTTATATCATTAAAAATGACAATAATTAAGAAAAGACATTGTATTTTGTCCACTGATAACATTTTTAACGATATAAGCACATCCTGATGTTACTTTTATCGAGACCTTTCGTTTGAATACCCACATCAATTTTTCATATATTTTATATATTTATATATATTATATATATCTATGTATATGAAAAATATATAAAAATGCATGTGGGTATTCAAATGAAAGCTCTTGATGAGTGAAACATCAAGATGAGGTTATATCTTAAAAAATGTCAATAGTTAAGGAAGTACAGGGCAATTTAACAAAAGTCATTATTTAATAAAACAAAATTTTAGTTATTTATAATTGAAAAGTCACATAGTGGCTGCAAAGTTGCTAGTTATTTATTAATATTTTTGAAAATTTTAAAAGTTTTAACATAATAAAATAAAATTACAACATCAATAAAAATTGAATAAAAAAAATTACCCGATTCTCGTATTTTTTTCAAATCACATCCCTTAAGAACCTCCATCAGATAAATCAAAGTCAAATTACACTTCCTTGCTTGAATAATATCCCTTACAGCGCGTACAATAGCTCTTGCATCCTCAGTCATATCTGCCATAATAAAATTCTCCTAAAAATTCAATCATATTAATTAATTTAAATTAATTATTTAATATAAAAGACCCAATTATTGAAAATTTAAATTTTATTTTAATTCAAAATTAAATAAATTATTTTAATTAAAAAAAAAAAATCAACTTTAATAAATTTTGTTATTAAATAAACTTCAATATTTTTATTATTATAAATTTATATTATTAATTTTCTAAATAATTGACTGTTAGAGAAAATTTTTTAATTAAAATAAAACAGCAGGTGTCAAAAAACTAGTCCAGTATGAATAACTGGGTCTTAAACCTTCTATACAATTAAAAACAATTTTGATAATTGTCCTTACCTTATTCCGACAATTATCACAAGTAGTAGCTGGATTCCCAATACAAAACTTCCTATCAAAAATCTCCCCAAAGTACCTCAATTGCAGCACCCTCCTACAATCAGTTTTATTTTCACAAAAGGAAATCATCTTGACCAAATTATCCAAATGATTTTGCATTGCATCCCTCGAGCTTTGATCAGCCATCATCATATTCTTCAACTTAATAGTATCCGAGTAATTATAAAACAGAATACAATCCGCATTTTCCTGATCCCTCCCAGCCCTTCCACTTTCCTGATAATACCCTTCAATACTTTTGGGAATGGTCGCATGGAAGACAAACCTGACATTAGCCTTATCAATGCCCATGCCAAAAGCAATAGTAGCACAGACAACCTTAGTGTCTTCCCTGATCCACTTCATCTGGGACTCAGTTCTCTGTTTGTCCGTCAACCCAGCATGATAGCTTCCCGCTTTAATTCCATTCATCCTCAGATGATCAGCATAGTCATCACAATCCTTCCTGGAGAAGCAATAAACAATCCCACATTCTCCAGAATACTTTTCCTTAATCAGCGCTGCAACTTCAGCGTAGCAATTTCTTCCCTTCTTTTCAATCACCGTGTACTTCAAATTAGGCCTGTTAAAACTGGTGAAGAAATACTTAGGATTGTTCAAGCTCAATCTAATTGAAATATCCGTTCTAACAGTTGGCGTGGCAGTGGCAGTAAGCGCCATCATCCCAACTTTCGGAAAAGACTTCCTCAAGAAGCTCAATTTTCTGTAATCCGGTCGGAAATCATGTCCCCATTGTGAAACACAGTGCGCTTCATCAATAACAAACCTCTCTAACAATCCCTTTTGATACATCCGCTTTAAAACATCCAAAAATTTCGTACTAGACGACAATTTTTCCGGAGTTACATACAAAAGCTTCAAACTGGGTGAATCTTTGTTCAAATCTCTGTAAACCGCGTTAGCTTCCGCATCAGAAACATCACCCAACAAATGCGCTGATTTGATATCCAACGAATTCAATTTGTGAACCTGATCTAACACCAAGCTCTTTAACGGCGAAACCACAATAGTTACCCCAGAACCCAATAATGCCGGTAATTGGTAGCACAGTGACTTACCGCCACCTGTTGGCATTAGCACAAAACAATCATGCCCAGTCAAAGCTGCGTTCATAACCTGAAGCTGATTTGGACGGAAACTTATCAATCCGAATTTGGTTCTAAACAACTTCTTCAATTCTGCAGAATGCGGATATTCCCGATCGAATTCTTTTGTAAGCCCCGCATTTTGGATATCTCCCATAAATTTTCCGGTTGGAGGCGGAGGCGCCTCGAACATCGCTTTGAAGTTGTTTCTAAAGGTAGTCTCTTGACTGTTAAAGCCCAATGCGGGTAACGCTTCTAGTTCCTGAGTTAGGGAACGATTGGAAAGTAGTAAGGGTTCGTCGAAGCTTTCTTCAAAGTGGGTTAGGTCAAATTCTTCTATTGGCGGGTCTAAATTCACTTCTTTGGGCGCTTTTTGGACCTCTTCTAGGTCTTCTGGGTCTTCTGGGTCGCTAAAGTCAACATAAATTGACTTAGGCTTAGATAATCCCTTGGAAAAAGGCTCGTTAGAGGTTATTGGGTTGTTAGATTGGCTAGAAGTGCTAATTGGGGCTTCTTTAGCAGGTAAACTGTTGTTTACTTCAGATAAAATTGCTTTTATAGGCTTTTTAACCTGGAATTTAGACACTGGCTTAATTACAGGCTCTTCTGAGTCTTCTGGGTCGCTAAAGTCCATAAATATTGTTTTTGGCATCAAATTCTGCTTTATAGGCTTTATTGGGGAGCTTAAGTTCATAGAATTTGATTTTGGCGCGAAATTTTGCATTTTTGGGTTGCTTAAGTCCATAGAATTTGTTTTTGGCGCCAAATTTTGCCTTATTGGGGAGCTTAAAGTTTCTGAGCTGGTATTTTCGGGTAAAATTGATTTTACCGGGCGCTTTACTTGGAATTTAGAGCTTCCTGGAGTTTCGGGAGCTTCTGGGGTTCCAAATTGTTCCAAGCTACTGTCTAAATCCAAAGGACGCTTTTTAGAAGCTTCTGAGCTTATTTCTGAGCTTGGAGGAGATATGTTAGCTGAGGAACTTTTAGTTGGAGTTGGGGAAGATCCGGAGGGACTTGTGGCGCTGCGGAGCTTCTTTTCGGTTAATAATCGCTTAGCTCTAACGTGTTGGCGCAGAGATTTAAGGGTGCTAAAGATGCTACTGTCGAACTGAGGAAATTTCTCCAGGATTTCTAAGGGGATTTTATCGTAAACGGAAAGCATCTTTTCCTGGATGTCGATGTAGTGAGTGTTTAACTGGTTTAAATGCAAGTGCAGCTCGAATTCTAACTTTGGGGACTGGGACATCACTTCGGCTTTTTCCTTGGATTTTATCCAGGCTTTCATGTCTTCGTTTACTCCCAAGGGGCTCAAGTTGAGCTTGAAGTCAGGTCCGCGCCAATTTGGGCGAGGGCTAGTGGGGCTGGTTGAAGATTGAGACCCGGGTCCCGATGGAGGTTGAGACGCTGGTCGGGTTAAGCTTGATTGCTTTTTGGGGCTGAATTTCTTGGGAGCAGACATTCTGGGGGAGCTTTTCACGGATTTTTGGGAATTTGATATGGGTTTTAAGGGCTCAAAATCATCCTCGCTGTCGGTGTCTAAAGCGATTATACGGGAGGGTTTGGTGGAAGTTTTTGGGGGGCGCTTCTGACGCTTTTTTAAGGGGGAACCTCCGATTGAGCTGTCACTGCTCTGAAATTTAATTAGGGAGGTTTAATTATTGTTGTGTACTTAGAAAAAAAAAATTGTTTTTTTTTAATTGAGAAATTTTAAATAATTTTATTTTTTAGATGAAGAAAAATGTTTTTTATAAAAATTAAATTGGCCAGCTTAAAATTAAAAAATTTTTTTCATTGAAAAATGATTAAAAAAAAAATTCACATGGAAAAAATTTGAAAATTTATCCGTGCAATTTTTTTACTTATAATTTTGTTGATTAAAAAAATTTTTTAACGTCCGCTAAGTTTTAATATCATATATTTTTAGTTACTTTTGTTTATTGATGTGTTTTTATCAAGAAAATTTTTTTTTTAGTTGAAAAATAAAATTGTTTAAAATTTTAAACAAATTAATTTCTTGTCATAATAATTTTACATTGAAGCTAGCTGACATTTTTTGATTTTTTGATTTTTCTTCATTTATTAAATTAGAACTAAAAAATATTTTTCAAAAATTGCACTCAAAGTTTTTAAAGTTTATTACAAGTGAAAATATTTTTTTTTAATTATTTTTTCAATAAAAAAAATTTCTAAAAATTTTTAAATGTCGGCTAACTTAATTTTCATCATAATAATGACAATTTTTTTTTTTTAGTGTAGAAGAATAATTTTTTAAATACTTACGATTGTTAAAACTGCATCAGACTTTGTTAAAGGCTCATTTTCCTTTTCTGAAAAACTATAAAAATAAATTAAAGATTTATTTATTGTGTAATTTTGGATTTAATTAGTTAAAAAAAAAAAAAATTACAATTTAATATTTTGTAAAAAGTATTTGAAAAAAATAATTACGTTATTTATTTAATATTTAAAAAAAAAAATTAAGTCATAATTTTGCAAAATTTATAATTGTAAAAAATAAGTGAATTTTTATTAATAATTATTTGAGTTAAAAAAAAAATTTTCACCGTTTTTAATAATTAAATTTTTATACAAAAATTATTTACTGTTAAAATTTTTTATAACATTAAAAAGTTAGCAGCTACTTAATGATTTTTTTTTACAAATAAATTTTTTCTGGAAAATTATTTTTAAAAACTTGCATTTTTAATTTTTTATAATTTCTACAAGTCAATTTTTTTGTTAAAAAATTCTAAAAATTATTAAATACCTGCTAAATTAATTCTCATAAATTTTTTTTAAAGACAATACCAAAAATTCTGGAATTAATTAATTTGGATAAAAATTAATTACAAAATAATTTAAAAAATTAAATAAATTCACTAAATATTATATAAACAAAATAAAAAAAATTACAAACACTAAAACTAACCTGTCATTAGTCATAATTGTTATATATTAAATTAAATATAATAATCCAAGTAAACACTAAAAATAAATCTGGATGATAGTACAAAATTATCCATTAAAAGTTACATTATGATAACTGTTTTAAATTATTAAAAAAACAATTGTTAATATTATTTGTTTTTAATATATCAAACTTAAAAAATTATTTACGTTAAAAAAAAACGAAACTCGGCGTGAGCGGTTCCCTCTCCTTTTCTCCTTTGACCAGGTGCTCTCAACTTGCGGAGAAATAAATAATTTTTTGACGTCAAAAACTCAGTGAACTTCTTACCGCGCTGTGATAAGTTAGAAAAGTTAAAACGATGTCATATGTTGACGTGTTGTAGAGGGCGGTAGTTGCGGGATGATAATTCTGCACTGACAACAAAAAACAACATGTCAGAGTTAGAGAGTTTTGTTGATTGTTGAGTTTGAAATATAAATTTGTTTTTGTTGTAAATAAAAAGTGTGGGTGATTTTTTTGTAATATAAATATATAAATATAATGTCTGACAGCTCAGATGAGGGCGTTGAAGATGGAATTTGGACTCCTTATAAAGAAAGAGATGAATGGAAGGATGTGATACCTATTCCTCAGGATGATGGGCCGAATCCTGTTGTTGCTATTGCTTACTCTGATAAATGTAAGGTTATTAATATTATTTTTATGACTATTAAGATAGAAGTTAGTTGATGATTTTTTAATTTTATATTCTAAAAAAATTATTTTTGAAAAATTCCATTTTTTATTTTTTTTTTCTACGTCAAATTTTTTTGGAGTAATTTATTTTTTAAAATATCATTATTTGACAAGATAGCAATGTCAGTTCTTAATTATTGAGATTTATTAAGATATAAGCTCATCCTGGTGTTACACTCATCAAGAGCTTTAATTTGAGTACCCACATGCATTTTTTATATATTTTTCATATATACATCTATATATGATATATATATATATATATATATAATGAAAATGGTCTTCGTTTGAGGCTCAATCACGCCTAAACCACTGATCGTATCGACATGAAACTACCACCATTCGATGCGAAATTTTTCCTAGATGGTTTATGGCTATCTATTTTTTGAATTCCAACATTCCTTCATTTTTTTATTGCTGTTTTACTTTTATGAACATTTATCCCGCTAATAAAAACAAAAGATAAGCATTTTCTCTTGACTCTTTAGTTTTCATGGATTTCAACAGAGTATATTAAACGGATTATGGTTTTTTACATTCAGCTAAGAATCTACTCACGGTAGTGGAGAACGGCTGGACCAATTGGGCTTTTTTTTTATCTTCAGAATTGTCAGGAGAAAGTTTTGTATGTAAGAAAATTTTAAAAAAGTCCGATAAAAAGTTAAAAATTTCGATGATAATCGAAGAATTCCCATCTATATAGTCACTCACCACGAAATCTCGGAAACCATAAGACTTAGAAACGTGAAACTTGGTAGGAATATTACTTTTGCTATGTAGAGGTCAGCTATGAATAGATTTTAAGAAATTCATCCCCCAAAAGGGATTGCGGGGGCGTTAATAATGAACAATTCCCGTTTTTAAACTATAGCTCCTATAGACTTCAAATTTGGTAGGAATCTTCTGTAAGAGGTGTAGAAATAGGCTATGAACGAATTTTACGATAGCTCACCCCGCAGGGGGTTGAGGGGGTGGGTATTAACAATTAATATTTTTAATTTTCCAGCTAAAGCTCCTACAAGCTCCAAATTTTGTAGGAATTTTCTATAAGTGATGTAAAAATGATTTATGAACAAATTTTACGATATCCCACCCCAAAGAAGATTGCGGGGGCGTTAACAATGAAAATTTTCAATTTCCAAGCGATAGCTCCTATAGACTCCAAATTTCGTGAGAGTGTTCTATATGTAATATAAAAATGATCTTAGAGCAGATTTTACAATGAATCATCTCCAATAAGGTTCGCGGGGGTGGGTGTTAACAATAAAAAATTTCAATTTCGAAATATAGCTTCTAAAAATTCTAAATATGGTAGGAATTTTCTATTATTCACATAAAGATCATCTCAAAATGGATTTCAATAAAGTCTACTTCCGACAGGAATTGCGGGGGTAGGTGTTAAAATCTAGAATTTTAATTTCCAACCTGTAACTTCTACAGACTCCAAATTTGGTGTGTAGGGATATTTGTGTATTTCCTTACAACAATCGTCTTTTTGGCAGCGGAGAAAAAGTCATTGAGAGGTTTCCAAAACTTAACTTTACATGTAGCTATCCAATCAACGGACTAAGAATTTTACATTTTAAATGCAATTTTAAAATTTCAATTTTACATTTTATTTTCTATAAAAAGTTAATTTCACGGAATAAATTTTAGATAACAGAAAATTCGTCGCAATTGAACCTAGACAGATTTCAACTTCACATATGAGACTTGCAATGACTTTAACTTAAATTTTCAATGCTAATTTCAAATTTTTTTTCTTCATGTCAATTATTATTAATTTTTGGAAGAAAGGCACGGAAATGTTATAATGATTGCACATTGAAAGTTACAATGAATATTAGTGAGAAAAATCACCTGGATGAAAAATACAGGCTAAATCGATGGAATTTGGAATTTGTGTAAGTCTAAACAATATCGATGCTTACAGTTCTATCCGCGGGGCCTATTTATGTTCATACAAAAATAAAAAAAAAAGGAGAATAATAAAAATATGGAATAAAAAAAATAAAAATGAAACATAAAATGTAATTTATTTCCTTTTTCAATTCGCCCAGCGAAGCGGGCGGGAAACGGCTAGTATATATAATATATTTAAATATATAAAATATATGAAAAATGGCATGTGGGTATTCAAATGAAAGATCTCGATAAAAGTGACATCAGGATGAGCTTATATCATTAAAAATGTTATCAGTTAACAAAATACAATGTCAATTCATAATTATTGAAATTTATGAAGATATAAGCTCATCTTGATATTACACTCATCAAGAGCTTTCATTTGAGTACCAACATGCATTTTTGATATATTTTTCATATTTACATATACATAATATATATAAATATATAAAATATATGAAAAATTGATGTGGGTACTCAAATAAAAGGTCTTGATGAGTGTAACATCAGGATGAGCCTATGTCTTTAAAAATGTCAATAGTTTACAAGATACAATGTAACTACTTAATTATTGAAATTTTTTAAAATATAAGCTCATTTTGATGTTAGACTCATTAAGAGCTTTCATTTGAGTACCCACATGCATTTTTTTTATATATTTTTGATATATACATATATATAATATATATAAATATATAAAATATATGAAAAATTGATGTGGGTACTCAAATGAAAGGTCTCAATGAGTGTAACATCAGGATGAGCTTATATCTTTAAAAATGTCAATCGTTTATAAGATACAAGGTTTTTTTTTAATAATGAATATATATTTTCAGTTCGAGATGCTTACGATTATTTCCGCGCTATTTTAAAAAGCGGCGAAAAAAGTGAACGAGCTCTAGAACTTACAGCTGATTGTCTTTGGCTTAATCCCGCTAATTACACAGTCTGGCAATACAGACGTGATATTTTGAAGGAGCTGGACAAAGATTTGTACGAAGAGCTCAAGTACATAGACACGATCATTGAAGTAAACTCCAAGAGTTATCAGGTTTGGCATCACAGAAAAGTAATTATCGAATGGCTGAGAGATCCCAGTTGTGAGTTGAATTTCACTGCAATGATCTTGGAAAAAGATGCTAAGAATTATCACACGTGGCAACACCGGCAGTGGTGCATTCAAGAATTCAAGTATGTTTTTTTATTTTTTTTAACATAATAAAAAATTAAATAATAAATAACTAAAAAATGAATAAAAAATAAATTGATTTATTTTTATTAATTTTTTTGTTTAAAATTTATGTCTTTATTTTAAAGATTGTGGGACAAAGAACTGGAGTATGTTGAACAGCTGTTGAAAGAAGACATCCGTAATAACTCAGCGTGGAACCAAAGATACTTTGTTTTAAATAATATAACGCAATTTGAAGATGATGTTATAGATCGAGAAGTTGATTTTGCTTTGGAAAAAATATCTATTGTTAAAGGAAATGAAAGCGCTTGGAATTATTTGCGAGGGTGAGATATTTAATTTTAATAAAAATTAATAATACCACAAATGTTTATTTAATTAATCGCTCTATAAAAATTTTTTTTAGTAGTAATTTATTTTGTTAACTTTTTAAAAAAATTAAAAATTGAAGAAAAATTTATTTTAAACACTTAATACTATTTTCATTTTTATTTCAAATGAAATTTTATTTTTTTTTTTACTTTTTTTAGAATCTTGATGCACGATAGAAAAGGAGGACTAGCGTATAATGAAAAAGTTATGAAGAAATGTGAAGAGTTGTATACAAATGGAAATCGTGTTAATCATCTACTGGCATGTATTATTGATATTTGTCAAGCAAGACATCCTAATGAACCTTTGGATTCGTTTTATCATATAAGTCGCGCAATTACGGTAATTGTATACTTTTTTTTTTTTATTCAAAATTATGGTGAATTTTATAGAATTCAATTTTTCCCATGGAGTAAACAAATATTATTATTATTATTATTATTATTTTCATTTTTAGTATTGAATTCATTAATCATAATTTGTAAAGTAAGACAAATATTTAATAATAATAATAATAATAATAATAATAATAATAATAATAATAATAATAATAATAATAATAATAATAATAACAGGGTAACAGGAATGTAAATAATTTATAAATTTTATATGAATTTTACATAAAATTAAGCAACTCTAAAATAAATAATAATAAATAAATTTTTTCTTTATGTTTCAGCATTGTAAAGAATTATCAGAAAATTATGACAAAATAAGAAAAAGATACTGGGATTATGTTGTCACCCAATTAGAAGAAACTGTTAAAGCATGAGTTGATTTTCCAGAAAAAAATTGTAAATGTTTTTTTTTTAGTTTTAATTTTTTACAATATAAAATATTTACCAACGGCATGAATGAAGAAATATAAAGAGAAAAAAAAAATGACGAAATAAATAAATGCACTTATAACATTAAGTATCTATTTATTTATAAAATATTTCAATACTTCCATTCATAATCATATAATAATAATTATTATTATTTCAATAAATAATCAATAACTAATCATTACATATTTAATTATAATTGATGATATAACTATAATATATAACTATGCAAAATAAAATCAGCAAGTGGATTAATATTAATTAATATTTTATTTTTAATTAATTAACTTCATCAAATCCTCATTAAAAAGATCTTTTCCCTTTTAAATAATCTCAGCCTTTTATCATTTATTTTTATTTTATTTATTTATTTATTTATTTTTTTGAACTTTCATCGGTTCCCTTTAGCCTGAAGACTATTTTTACTTATTCTTTTAATTAATTAACCAAAGTTAGGTAATTAATTTAACAGGCAGTGATGCAATAATTGTGGTTTTAATTATTTAAAAATTATTTTTGCCGTCAATTTAATTAATAAATAATTTTTTTAATTAATTTTTAAATAACGGCAATGAAACCACGAAAACAAAACTAATAATCTAGCAGCAACAAAAACCATTGCAAAAATATTTTTATGCTAAAAAAAAAAAATTACGAGGGTAAAGCGCTGCAGTACTAACAAATAAATAAATTATTTTTTTTTTAAATTCAATTTTATACACGGAAAGAACAAGACGACACTGGATACCATCTCAGATTATACTCAGTGACATCTGAGGCGAAAAAAAATTTCAGATGGTAGCTAGTATAATCCAGATTATACTGGATAATATCTGGATTATACTCATTGTAATCTGGATTATACTCATTGTAATCTGGATTACGCTCATTGTTATCTGGATTATACTAGCTACTATCTGAAAAAAATTTTCGCTCAGTATAATCTGGGATTATATCCAGTATAATCTTGTTCTTTCCGTGTAGCTGATATTTCTTCTCAAATTTCAAAATTACTCGCTGTTAGTAACTCAGCACCGCCCGCTTTAATTTCATTTTAATTTCAGAGGTAATTTTCAATTCGAATTTTTTTTTTTTATATTTTCATATTCTTATATATTTTTCCTACACTAACATTTAACAACCAACATCCAAACAATTAATTTACACATACAATATCTGGATCGACCATAATTTAAATATTTTATTTATTTTTTCTATTAACAAAAAATATCTTTTTTTGTTAATAAAAAAATCACAAACAATTGATAAATGGGTTTTGTATTAATTCATATTTAAAGCTATTTAACACGCAGTTTTACCACGTTAATAAAGTACATTTACACTGAAAATATATATTATATATATTGTTTGTCACTGCATAAATACTTTTTTTTTTTATTTTTTAAAATACGTCATTATCAACATTATATAATTTTGTTTGTTTAGTTGACTGTAATTTCGTCTGAAATCGACAATTAATTTTTTTTTTTTTTTGTTATACAAAATCTAATGATTAGAGTCATGCGAAAAAATTGATTATTTTTAATTTTAAAGTCGTAGAAAAAATATATTAATTAAAATATTATTTAAATATTTAAATAATATTTTAATTAATATATTTTTTCTACGACTTTAAAATTAAAAATAATCAATTTTTTTGCATGACTCTAATCATTAGATTTTGTATAACAAAAAAAAAAAAAAAATTAATTGTCGATTTCAGACGAAATTACAGTCAACTAAACAAACAAAATTATATAATGTTGATAATGACGTATTTTAAAAAATAAAAAAAAAAAGTATTTATGCAGTGACAAACAATATATATAATATATATTTTCAGTGTAAATGTACTTTATTAACGTGGTAAAACTGCGTGTTAAATAGCTTTAAATATGAATTAATACAAAACCCATTTATCAATTGTTTGTGATTTTTTTATTAACAAAAAAAGATATTTTTTGTTAATAGAAAAAAAATATTTTTAGTAAATATTAAAATATTTAAATATTTTTAATAAAAAATCTTAGCAAAAAAAAATTTTCATTAATTTTAATTTGAATCAAAACTAAAAAAAAATTAATTAAAAAATTTTGAACGTCTTTAGAAAGAAAAAAAAATATTTTTAGTAAATATTAAAATATTAAAATATTTTTAATAAAAAATCTTAGCAAAAAAAAATTTTCATTAATTTTAATTTGAATCAAAACTAAAAAAAAATTAATTAAAAAATTTTGAACGTCTTTAAAAAAAAAAAAAATAATTTAAATAATTAAGAAAAAAAAAAAAAAAATAGTCAATTTTTTTGCACCACTCTACTAATGACAAAATTCGAAAGATTTTACTGTCGATATTCAGACTAACGATTATGTCTTTTATTTTTATTTATTTATTTTTTTTTCAATATATATTTTATCTTTTTTAATTAATTATTTACTTATATACGTTTGCGTTTTAACAATATTTGTATATTGGACCATCTTACAGTACTGCTCATTAATTAAAATCCAAAAATTCAGTTTGATTTTTTTTTATTTTTCAAAAAGACTATTTCGATATATTGAACTCACGACTCATAATTTATAATTTAGCTATCTGATGGTAGTCTTATTATTCTAGTCAGTTCGCTAAAAATAATCTCGCAATCTAGCTTGTTAAAAAAATATTCAAAATTACAAATCAACTTTTTTTTCGGTTTTCATACTTTTTTTTTTTTTTTTTTTTAAGCGTATATTTTCATGGGAAAGTATTTTCAATAGCAATTTAAATATAATTCTAATACCATTTATTTATTAAATTTGAGACTCAACTATTCGAATTAATAATTTTTATTTATTTTCACGGAAAAAATATACCCAAGCGTATGTTTCTTTTAGTACTTAGAAAATTTTCTCAATTTTTATTTGAAAATATTTAAGGTTCCTATTAAGCTTAATTATGATTAAAAAATCTATTAAAAAAAATAAAAATAATTTCCTATCAATTTAAATGATCAAACTTTTAATAAATTCAATCTAAAACAAAGCTTCTAAAAACTTAGATAGAAAATTAGTGAGGATTTTAATTGTATTAAGCCATTTGTCTTCCATTTTATTGGTTAAAAATCCCAAAGTGTTATTAATGAGCGGTACATACTAACACAACGTTCATTGAGTATCTTAAAAGATGGACGTTAGGATCTAAATATTTGATCCGTTTACGTAAGCTCTTTATTTTTGTTCTATTTCATTCTTCATTAACCATTTTCTTTTTTTTTTTTTAATATATTATCCATAAAATCTGCTTTAAAAAGTCAATTTTAAAAATTTGTAAGCAAAAATTATGATCAAAAATTATTTATAACCTTATTTATACTCGACTTAATCTCCAAACGGCCAAAACTACAAATTTTAAATTTGAAAAAATTTTATTTGAATAAAAAATTGAAGAAAAAAAGTTTGGAAAATCCAAAAGTGCACGCTTCATAACGCTCATTCATTTTTTAAGAAAAAAATTAATTGTGTAATTGATTAAAAAAAAAAAAAAAAATTATAATTAAGTAATTTCTTACAAAGTATTTTTTATTTTTTTTTTTAAATATCGGCGCCCTTTCTTCTTGTCATGCGCGCACGCAGTCTAAAAAAATCTAGCTTGATCAAGTAGCGCCATAGTTTTCACGTGACAAATAAGGAAAGATCGTTTAGCTTTGTACGGTTGTATCGTAGTAAATTTTAATAAAAATTCAATTTAAAAAAAAAAATACGTAAGCTAGGCCACTGATATGCAATACGGACCCAGTTCATCGAATTCTTAAACTAATAAAAAAGATCCGGTCTTGAAATATCAATTTGTTCGGGAGTAATCGTTGGTACATCCAAAATGGGGTGACATCCGGACGTCCACGTAAAATTTTTTTCAAAACGTTTTTTTTTTTCAAAATAGCAACATGAAATGATTTTAGAAAGTAACAGATGGTTTAATTTGAGTGTTTTTTCGGTGTACATCTACTTATATCATTGTATAAGTGTAATATGGTTGTGATAGAGGCATTTAAAGATCACAAAATTGCTTGATCTTAACAAGTCGAGTATAAAGCACAACCTCACGCGCTTCGCGCTATGATGCGTGCAATTTAATTTTCCGTCTAAGTATGTCTTTTTCAATGAAGTTACTCTGAAAATTACCTTAATTATCGTTTAAATCATAAAAAAAATTTTTAACCTTCAAATTTTCTTGCAAAATTATCAATATTAATGCTACAATTTTTTAAAATTGACCTTTCATAGCAGATCTTGAGAATAATAACTCAATTCCAAGAAGAAAAGAGCGCTACAACCGTAATTTCACGGAGTTCGCCCAAAAACTTCTGCCGCGTCCACAATAATTTTCATGTAAACGCGGCATAAACTTTAAGCTTACACTTAAAGCAACGATCGCAACGCCTATTTCTTCACACGTCGCATAAATAACTATTTCCATCCACGGTAAATATATAATTTCTTCTTCTCAGCATACACATATAGATATATTTTTGTTTTGTATTTATAAATTTATAATTCGATAGCGTAAGTTTAGAAGCCATTGACATAGATATATAGATATAAGTACATAGATATATTTTAGTTTAAGACAAAGACGATAGACAACTAAAATTAAGCTACGTAACTAAAAATAGAGTTCTACATAGACTTTAATTAACTACTTCAACATTTTTTTTTTATATTTATTTACTTATAGATTTTGCTATTAAAAAAAAGAAATTGATAATTTTTTATTTTTTTATTGTTGAGTAGTTAGTACGTATTGTTCAAAGACTTGTGGTAGTGATCAAATTGATATGAGATAACCTTCGATGTAAATCTCTATTTATCTCGGCTTATTAATATTAATATATTTATTTACTATTGCGCTGCTGAAATTTTTAAGTATCACATAAATAACCTTTTTTTTTTTTCATATTTCTAGTGAGATCAAAAAGGGAAAAATTATATTATCGAAGGAAGTTCGAGCGTAACTAATGAGTCAAAATAATGTTAAAATTTTTTTTAAATTTTAGTCTTCCCAATATTCGTCAAAATTCTTTATTTTAATTTAAAATAATTTAAACAATTTAATAATTGATGATTTTTACTTATTTAATAAAGTAAAGTAATAAAATGACTTTGGTATTTATTACTTGCCGGAATAAATAAACAGATTTGGCAATAGCGCGGTTGATTGTACCCATAACCTGTAGACGTGGATGAGTGTGTGAGTTAAATTAAACAATTCTCTCTCTGTAACTATATTTCTATCCTTTTGTTTTTTCTCAGCTGTTGACGCGATGTTGTCAAATGTTTATTCGAATAAATGGCTGACGATAAACCAGTTACAAACATTAAATTTGACTTTAAATATTTCAACAAATTATATCGGTAATGTATTATTATTAAATTGTTTTTATATTTTGCAATAATCCAACGTTTTGCATGTATAGTTTTTTATCTGTTAAAGTTGGGAGGTTAATATTGACAAAAAATAATTAAAGTCTCGACAAAACGTTTGTCCGCCATAAGAGCCCGTGTATAAGGAGATAAAATATGTGATTTTTTAAATTTAATATCTAAGTAACTAAACGGTGAATCTTTTTTAAATTTTGGGATTAGATAAATCACGTATCTATTTATACGTATACTTAATTTCAAACAAATTATTTTGTTGGAAATTATTTTTTACATTAGATTCGCTCGAACCTCCTTTAAAATTAGATTTCAACAAAAATTTTTTTTCCAACATCAAAAATAAACGTCTTTATTATTTGTTCACCGATGAATATAATAAAATAAAAATAACCATTCGCAGTTCCTTTAATAGCTGACCCAAAGAGCCGCATTAAATAATTCGCATTCAATTTAAGAATTACCTTCCCAAAAAAAGATATTTATATTCGTTGATTGGTAGTAAAATATTTAAAGGATTTTCCAGCAGCGCGAAATATAATTATTTATTCATTACACATACTGTAAATATGGATACTTATCATTAACATTACGTCATCAATGTATCTGTCACAAAAATAAATATTTGTCGACACACTTATTTACTAAACAAATATATAACCGATCGGAAATTATCTGGCTCATACATAATTCAATATTTATGAGCAATATTTATGATCTTCTATCGGAAATATTTGTTTCAGTTGTAATTTCATTATTTTGGACCGAGTTTAATCGAACGAAAAATATTGACCTAACATTATCGTTGTCACGCGCCATCTAGAGTATATACTTCTTTCATCTCCATTTATAGCTAGTTAATTTTGTTCTTGATCTTCAAAATAAAACTATAAGTTTTTTTGGTTATATTAGTAATTGTCTATTTAGCTCTCTAGTGATTACCGTGTGTGACAATTGAGCGGTTATACTTTTCCCAACTAACACCAGATATGAGGACAATGAAGTTAGTCTTCATTTCTGTCAGAATTAAGCTGCGAGTCGCAGCTTCAATTTTCAAGTCCAATAAGCGTAGCGAAAACTCGCCTCGTGTCAGAAAGCCGTGTCCAGGGCAGCCATTGATGCTGATATCTCAGGGTCAGAGCGACACGCGTCCAAAAATTCAGTTAGTGTCACCACGCCATCTTTGTTGCCGTCCATTTTCTGAAATATTAAAAATAAGCGCTTGTTATTATTGATACTGTAGATGTTTTTAGGTTAAAATTGTAAATTAAGGTTTGTTCATACTGAAGAAATGTAACTATATGAGTAACAAGCATGATTAATATCTTCAATATTTCGTGTCACGTGATATACTTATCATAATTTTCGGGACGGTTAATTATATATATGTGATTATATTTATTTATCAGATATAAATAAAGTCGTTAATAATTATAAATAGTGTAAAATAATTATTTTTAGTGTGTAAATTGCAATAAATTAAAAAAACTTAAGGTAATTTTTAGGTTGTTAGATGTCACGTGGCAACTTTCTATAGTAAATTTAGAAGGTAGGGGTAGTCTGTGACGTGGGGGCGGCGCTGTATACCTCTGCAGGCCTATAGACTGTATGATATAGTTATAACTAGTTACCCAGTCATAGAGAAAACATCGTGTCTGCTATCAAGTTATTTTTGCCAAAATTGTTTTCAAACCTCCACATTTTTATTACCTTTAACCGCTACTTTAATTTTGCTTAAGTGTTTGCTGTATTAATTTTATAAATAAATTGTGAATCAAATTTTTTTTAATTTTGTAAATTAATCATAAGGATTAAAATTTAAGTGTCTTTTAACCTTAAATCTAACCACGTGCATATAAATAATTAATTGATATTTTTTTAAGTATATTTTTAATAATAATTATAATTTTTTATAAAAAATGGAGAATTTCAACCTCAAAGAGTTCAATAACGAAGTGATGAGGTCCATCATATCAATGGAGGAAGAAATTGATATAACCAAAAAGCCGCCAACTCCGGGAAAATTAATTTTAAAATACTTTCCAGAGGATTATGCCAAGTTTAATCAGCCTCTTCCCGTTCGAGAGCTGTTTGTACCCCAGCAGGCTGAAGAACCTCAACAGGAGGAGCCCGAAGACCAAGCAGAAGAAGAAAACATTCCCGAGCAACCTCAGAGGCTAGACCGGACGGCTCAGAGGTACAATTTCAGTGTTTTACCCCGAGAAAGCCGCCCTATTGCCATTCCGAAATTTCGGAATGTCAATAGAAGTGTGTTTTTCGGGAACACTGAAGTTCATAGGACCCAAACCAATTCAAGAAGGATGCCTCGAGAAGAACCGGCTCCTATTCCGGCCCCGACGGAGGACAGGTTAAGAGGAGTATTAGAGCGCTTGAAGAGTCGCTCGACGGAGATGAACCCGGGTAAGAGGAAAGCCCAAGTCATCGACGTGGTCCAGCCAGCCCCAAAGAAACGAAGGGGTAACAAATAATTTAATTAACATGTTTTTTTTCAGGTTATTTTTAAGCTTTAGTTTTAATTATTCTAATATAATTTTATCTTTATTATTTTTATTTTTAGGTTATTTTTTATTTAATTACTTTATGTTAGTTTAAGGATTTAATTATAGTCATTGAATATTATGGTGGAGGGTATATAAATTTAAGGCTAGTTTTAAGGAATTAATTGCCGACCGGGTGGTTGGCCTTTAGTGACATTTCTTTTTTGTGGTATTGCTTTGATATTATCTAATAAAGAAATGTTTCTATTGAACATTCCTATTAAGGCATTCCTGGAATTCAAATATTTATCATATTTTTAAAATTTTAATTTTTTTCTTCAATATTATATACATCATAAATTTTATAAAACTGCAATAATATACCATCTTATAGCATCCCAATGAATTTATTATAGTTATATCGATTCTTCAATCTGGCTACTAAAAAAGTTCGAAAGGATCAAAGAGAGTGGACGAAGTATAAAAGGCTATTATCATCAGTCTATTAAAACTTTCGTTTCATCGAGCAACTTAGCAAGTTTATCGTCCGTTAATTATTAAATGGCTCCTGATGATTTATTTGCAAATTGATACGTCACATTTACGACCCACTATTAAACTTGTTATAAAGCTTGATTTCACCTTAATGGAGGGAAAAATTCTTTAATTAATAATAAACCTTTCCGACGATAATCTATTGGACGTTATTAATGGCTGATAAATAATAACAGAGTAATTTTAATTTTAAATTATCTTATTTGAAAAAAAAAAAAATATTTATTGCACATAAATATAAATGAATTTAAGATTATTAATACAAATACCAATTATGGAAGTTGTCTAATTAAAATTCAAGAGACATGTATAATCAAGCGGCCTTGCATATTTTCGATAAAAACGTCAAATGATAAAATTTATCAATGAATACCATTAATTAACGTTTCCTTAATTAAAACGTTATGTTAATTGATATGTAGAGCTTATTTTACGCACTGATATACATATGCATATGCATATTTAATAAAAGCAGCTAGAATCCACAAACGATTCAGTGAAAATGAGGATGAATAGTCAGCCTTGGCTGTATCGTCTAAGTCATCGTTTCCCTTAACTCTCACTTCTCCACTTGCCAGAAGTAAACTCAGCACAACTAAGCACTTCAGAATGTGTACGTTTATATATATGCATGTGTATTTTGACGAAGATGCTGTTCTGCAACCGACTACTAACATATGTACAAGCCCAAAGAGATTCGATTCAGCATCCGTCCTCTGGGAAATTTTGTCCTTGTTCATGTAATGCATGAGTAACTATCAAATACTCTGATTTCAAACTATATTTTATAAAGGTTTAATGAAACGATTGATCGGAAGAAAAAGTATATATATATATATAATGCAGATTGAGGGACAGAATATTGCCACAATAATGTATGATTGATGGATAGATAGATACTTTAAGGAAATATGAAAAGCGATTTAAAATAGAAGTGAGACATTAATCATTTATATTATTGAGAGAATAAGAATTTCTAGAGACATAATTAAGAAATAACCTTGTATCTTGTGAACTATTGACAATTTTAAAAATATAAGCTCATCCCGATGTTACACTCATCGAGACCTTTCATTTGAGTAGCCACATCAATTTTTTATATATTTGATATATTTATATATTTCACAAATACCATATATATAAAATATATAAAAAATGCCATGTGGGTACACAAATGAAAGGTCTCGATGAGTGTAACATCGAAATGAGTTTATATCTTAAAAAATAACATGGTATCTTGTTAATTATTCACATTTTTGAAGATATAAGCTCACTTCTACATTACACTCATCAAGACCTTCCATTTGAGTACCCACATCAATTTTTCTTATATTTTATATATTTATATATATTATACATATATATGTGTATATGAAAAATTTATAAAAAATGCATGTGGGTACTCAAATGAAAGCTCTTGATGAGTATAACATCAGGATGAGCTTATATCTTAAAAATCATCAATATTTAAGAAAGTACAGTTCAATTCATCAAAATTTCTTATTCAATACAGTAAAATTTTAGTTATTTATAATTGACAACTTACGGCAGTCACATAGTGACTGCAAGGTTGCTAATTTGTACTATTTTAAATGAAATTCTTTTGACACAATGACGCAAAATTTATGACTTTATAAAATAATACCATCAATATTTTTTATTATTACGTAATCGTTAAAATCGTCAAATTGCGGATATCAACTTTGTAATCCAGGATCAAAATGTGGCTTTTTATCCCACAAATTAAACCAAAAATAAAAAAAAAAGGTACTTTTTTATCGTTTTTAATTTAGATATCTCAATAAAAATAGTACCTGAAATATTCTATCGACTCGCTCTCTCACACCATCAGTATCCATATTGGGGTCAGAAAATTTTCCCATCAGTTCATAAACCGCAGTCACGATATCCGTCATTTCATCTCGTGTGATACAGCCATCTCCATTTATGTCATAAAGCGAAAATGTCCAGCGAAGCTTTTCGTCTATTGATCCACGTGATAGTATGCTCAAGCCCGTAACAAAGTCCTGTGAAAAGAAAAGTTTCAATGATAATAACAAGAATTAATAATTCAGACGGAAAATGCCAGTAGTTTTCATTATTAAACACCCTTGAAAGGATTTTATCACTTATTCAGTGTATAGTTACGCAAAAACTTGATACATAAAACGGGACTAGATTTTATTTCTTGTTCTTGTTCCTTGGAGCTTTTAATGCGATAAATTAGCGATAATGTCAAAATCTCAGTACAGATGTATACCTGTCAGATATTATTGAGCTACTGCAAAATGGTTGGAAGAAAAGTCGCTGAATATTTTATGAGTTCATTTTTATGATGTATTTTTACGCTCACGATTATACGGTTCTTTGTATGCAGGATCGAGAGTGGTCAGAAAATGTAAAATTACAAAAAAATAAAAAAATTATTGCGCTGTGGTAAAATACTTTTTTTTTTAATTTTGATACTCTACATAGTTAGGAGATAAATTGAAGCTTTAGTGTAAGTTCTATGACTAGGTGTGAAAAAAAAAATTTTTTTTTTAAGAGGTTCGAGCGAATCTAATGTAAAAATAATTTCCAACTTTGTTTGAAATTAAGTATACGTATAAATAGATACGTGATTTATTTAATGCCAAAATTTAAAAAAGATTCACCGTTTAGTTACTTAGATATTAAATTTTAAAAATCACATATTTTATCTCCTTATACACGGGCTCTTATGGCGGACAAACGTTTTGTCGAGACTTTAATTATTTTTTGTCAATATTAACCTCCCAACTTTAACGGATAAAAAACTATACACGCAAAACGTTGGATTATTGCAAAATATAAAAACAATTTGATAATAAATACATTACCGATATAATTTGTTGAAATATTTAAAGTCAAATTTAATGTTTGTAACTGGTTTATCGTCAGCCATTTATTCGAATAAACATTTGACAACATCGCGTCAACAGCTGAGAAAAAACAAAAGGATAGAAATATAGTTACAGAGAGAGAGAAATGTTTAACTCACACACTCATCCACGTCTACAGGTTATGGGTACAATCAACCGCGCTATTGCCAAATCTGTTTATTTATTCTGGCAAGTAATAAATACCAAAGTCATTTTATTACTTTACTTTATTAAATAAGTAAAAATCATCAATTATTTAATTGTTTTAATTATTTTAAATTGAAATAAAGAATTTTGACGAATATTGGGAAGACTAAAATTAAAAAAAAATTTCAACATTATTTTGACTCATTAGTTACGCTCGAACTTTCTTAAGGAGATCCTAGTATCTTCCTAGTGTAAAGAATGTCTATAAAAAAAATAATTTTAATATTCCCTGTATAAAATACTTATTTTTGTTTTTAAATAACTAATATCAGTTTCAAAAAAAATTAAAAATTGATTCCAGTTTTTCAATAAAAACTGGATTAGTTTTTTAACCAAGCAATACTATTGTCGATCTTCACGATAGCAGTGGATCGATTTTTAATCAAATTTAAGTCTCAATAAACCTTTTTGAACCCCAAAAACACTCAAATGGCTAAAAAATTCCAATTACAAAAAACTAAAATTTATTTCGTGATTTCCACCCAATTTATCGACACGGCGTAGTATCGCTTATATTTTTCACTGTGATTCTTATCTGCATACCAAGTTTTATTAAACTAGTTGAGCTTTGTTCAACTATAAGAGAATACAGAAACGAACAGATAGACAGATAGATGGATAGAAAGATACAAACAAACAGAGGAAAATTAAAAATCTAAATTTTGAATCAATAAATTGATACTGAATTATAAACTTATATTGAATATGATTATAATTTTAATTAGCTTTTGAAATTAACAATTGAATTAACTTGTACCACGTACTCCAGTGAAGTAGTAGAATCAAATATAATATAGAGTTGGCAGGGGATAGTACGTAAATCTCTTTACTAATCAATAAATTCCATAGATTGTTTTCATAAATGTACCTTTACGTTAGTATGCCAATATAACTTCGTAATTAAGTTCATAATTCAATACAAGAATATGGGACAACTTTGAATGACTTTGCATGGATAGCAGTAATTAAAACTTTAATTAATAGACTTTAAATCTGCCACACAATTGACTGTTTTTAGAATTAATTCACTTGCTGATCAATACTATTATTAATTTTTAAAAAATTGCATTAATTATTTTTAAAATAAATACAATAATTAAATTCTTTTTTTTTTAATATCATAATTAATTTTTGTAATTAAAAATTAAAAAATAATTCTTTAAATTTTTAGATAAATATTTTATTGAGGCAGTTGTTAAAAAATTGGCAATTAAAATAAATTTTGCACGCCTTATAAGCGAAGCGTTGAGGTAGTGCTCTACTCTCGACAAAAAAAGCACTTTTCTCGAAACTGAAATTGATTTTTTTTTACTTATATCGCACTTACAGGATAATATGAGTGCACTTATATCAAGTAAAATAATCTGTCAGGCACGTAAAATATATTTCAATAACAATTATTTTGTTTAACATTTAAAATAATAACATTAAAAATAATCTTTGCTGGACGTCCGTGTGTCTGTGTTTATGGATCCGTGTATGTGCCAGGGAAATTCCTCGAAAAAATAATCCTACCGGAATTATTTTTTTTTTATCATCTAAAGTAACACACTAAGGACTTTCTCAATTAATATCACCGTTCAATTCACTGTCGTTTAATTATTATTTATAAAGAACTCAGATACGACAGTGTATTTGTATATCTATATATAAATTTTATTACAGTATTTTTTTTCCCCACCTTAGAATTATCGCGCCACTAAATCATAGTAGAGTTTTCTGTTTTTTATTATTTTATTTTAATTAATTTTATTGTGAAAAATAAGATTATGAGGCGTGCACTTTTATAATTTTTAGTTTTTCACAAAAGATATCTCTATAATTTTTTGATTGGTTTAAAAATCAAAATATTATTTGAAATAATTTTTTCTTGATTTTTATTTTTTATTTTTTTTCCAGCATAACGCGCAAAGATGTCGAATTGAAACTTAAAAAACGGTAATTTAGCTACGTGATAAATTATAGGTAAGTTTTTACTTTTTGTCATTACTTTACCGCGAATGTCATTGTTGTAACTTCAGATAATTACTCACACGTTTTACTTCTTCTGTAAAACTTGTCTTTTTTTTTCTTTTATTCCACTAAAGTGTTGCACACAATTGCAATTCACAAAAAAAGCGTTAAATTTTAATTAGTATTATTAAGGGATAATGGTAAAATAATTTATGCTTTGTAAACCAACCCAGAAGAGTGATAAAGCAACCACAAACCAATGTGGTTGCCCGCAAACCCAAGACAAACAATTTCCATCTTAAAAGTCAAATTTCGGAGTAAATTCAACAGCACTTAAATTTAAAGCTACTTAGTTTTCGTTTGTTATGAAGTTTATAAGCCTATAAGTGTCTGTACATTTACATCGAAGAGAAATATAGGACGCATGCTTTAGAGACAAAAATTATGTGATGTGCAAAAAGACGGTAGAATGGGATAAGGTAAAGAATTAGTATGGCGGACGCGAAAAACTTTAGGTTGTAGGATGTAAGTAAGATTAAGCGTTGTCGGGTGCTATATATATACCTAGGTTAGTGGTACGAGTGAAATTTATATAACACATTCACCAAAGCTAGCTGTTGTCCTTTCTAGCATTCTCCGACTTCCTTTTAAAGCCACCCTTATACATATTAAATCGCTATCCAACTTTTATTCGGAATTGTAAGTTCGTACGTGGGCATCGCTTTACGCTTTTTTCGCATGATTTACTTTTTATATGAGAAAGTATACTGTGAAGGTTATGAGACCAAGTGAACTGTACTTGTGATTATTTAAAGGAATTTTTTAAAATTTTTAAGGAAATTTTGATCATAAAAAAAATGCTTAAAAATTTTTGGACTTCGAATTATTGTAAGTAAATAATTAATTAGATTAAAAAGATCACGAAGGTAGATTTCATATAATCCATGATTTTAATAACAATATTATAAATAATTAGAACTGATTCAGCTTCTTAAATTTTTGTTGTAATTGTTAAAAAATAAATTTGTTATAGGTGAAATTAAAGAGAAGTTTATGAGCTTTAAAATGGAATGCAGAAAAATGATTTATCATTTTTTAATGACAAGTTATTCCCTAGTAGTCACCCAACACGTGATTTTTAAAATTTTCGAAAATTTCACATGGCTGCCATTTCTAAACTATTTAATGGATTTAGCTCATTTTTCAACTCATTCAAGCTAATTGTCCAAAGAATAAGTCTAGCAAATTTCATGAAGATTCATTGAGAATTGCGGAAGTTATCATGTTCACAACCCGCGTTGTATAAATTTATGGGTGATTCTCTGTAAGGACGTCTTAAATCTGTACAAAATTGTCCGACCGAATTATTTTTGATTTTATTAGAAAAAAAATTAACAAGGGCTACAAAACTATCTTAATCATAATAAATAAACAGATTTAATTTTTGCTTTTTCGATATTTGTGTATCTTTTGCCATATAACATCACAGGGGACTGTTTTTTTTATCAAATTGAGAAAAATCAAGCAAACTATTTCAATGCATTCAACTTTTCAAGTTCTCAATGAATGTTTACATTAATTAGAATAATATTAAGACTTATGAATCCAATTTTATAAATAAATTATAAATAAAAATAGCTGCCAGGGGACTGA